TAGACAACACATCACTGAATCACGAGACAACACACCACTGTATCACGAGACCACACATCACTGAATCATTAGACCACACATCACTGAATCACTAGACGACACATCACTGAATCCTTAGACCACACATCACTGAATCCTTAGACCACACATCACTGAATCATTAGAAAACACATCACTGAATCACTAGACAACACATCACTGAATCATTAGACCACACATCACTGAATCATTAGAAAACACATCACTGAATCACTAGACGACACACCACTGAATCACTAGACGACACATCACTGAATCATTAGAAAACACATCACTGAATCATTAGACCACACATCACTGAAATAAAGTTATTATTATCATATGTAAGCATGCTTGGACACTCACTGAGGAATGTTTCTATTAATGTTACTTGGTTAAGAAAATCCCTGATTTAATTGGACAACTGCTATTCTTCTTGACATTCAAAACTAAATCCCTCAATTTTATTGAGAATATTAACTCTATAATCAAGTGAAGAAACATTCTATGTTGTAAATTTTCATATGTATGTGTACCTGTGTAAGCTGAAAGACACTCGAGTGTTATCAAGTTTGGACCAGAATCATTTGATTGTGAGAATACTTAGAACAGTGTCTGAGTTTAGGTGTTAATCTTAGATAAGTATCAGTGTTAGTAATCTTTCAATCATTTAATGTCTTCCACTCCATTACTGTCATTCTTTTTCTAATATGGCTGGGGTGTTTCCGCCAATCAAATCACATATTATTTTCCACATATAAATTGAATTGAAGAAGTTGTTATTTGGAATGGACATTGGAATGCATGTAACTTCACTCTATTGTTTTAATTTGAAGCAAAAGTCTTGTTGATTATATGTCAATTGTGCTATTGAAATAAACACTGATAATAAATATAATAGTATCAGTGGTACAATCAACAGTAAAATAAACATGTGATGAACAATGAATTTGATTGCAGCCATGTTAGAAGCCAGTTATAGAATGACGAGCAGGGCTTTGACATCATTCAGCTTACATGTCAAGATCCAAAACTGTATAGATCGTCTATCATCCTATAGCCTATTGCCACACAATGAAAGTAGTCATACATTTTGTAACATGGACAAACATTAAAATTGTAAAATTGTGTGTGATTTCACTCTGAAATTAAAATGATTTGAAAAGTTCAACATTGGTCTTTCTCAAACAGACTTACTCTGTCAAAATGTTTTGACCTTATAAATATTTATTTCAAACAACCTATCATGGATTATTGCTTTTGACCCATAATTTTGATGAAATCCAATCACAATGTGAATGGCTGACATTGGTGATGGTAATGGGGTTGAGCTCACCATTAATTTGTATACTACTAACTTGTTGTTGTTGTTGTTGTTGTTGTTCACTTATATATAAACTAACCTATCTGTATTAATAGGGAAAACTGTAACAGTGGGTAAAAGTGGTATTCCCAAAAAATTAGAAACTTCTCTGCCACAACCATCAACTCCACCACAACTGCCACAAGTTGCACCATCTTCTTCATCATCGTCGTCATCTACTATAACTGCAATCACTTGTGGGGATCAGGCTGAAAACGTTAACGTCTTTGCTGAATACTCTGGTGTGTTATCATGTCTTTAAGGGGATTCATAGTGTCCTGGGTGCTTTTCATCTATAATATTCGTATCATTAAAGCGCTACAGTCGTCATGCATCAAACATGTTCCAAATTCGGGTCTCATATCGAACATGAAGCGGTGCGACAACTGTATCACTTTAAAGTTACCACTGTAATAATGTTAATCTATATGTATATGTAATTTTAAGAAAACACATATGTTGATCTCCAGTTGTCACGACTTAATGAAACCCAACAGCATGCTGGTAATCCCATGATGCATCTCACTTATTCATTGTGAGAGACAAAAGAATGACTGATATGTAAATTTTCTTTCATCATTCTAAAACATGCACAATGTAATAATAGATTGAAATCAACTTTTAAATGTTTGCATGTCTATACATTAAGATGATTCTCATTGCATCCTGTATGACATAAATGTTTCATGGCAGAATCAGGGTTGAGTTGGAAAGCATCCAGAATATAGAACTTGTATCGTATCACTCTAATGTAAACTATCCACTGAAATCTCCTTGTCTGTCTTTCTATCATAGCTTTATAACCCTGTTGTTTTTTTTAATCATAGCTGTACATAGAATTGTACATTTTCAGATTTTGTCAGTTGACTTTACTAAGTTATCAAAAAAGTACTTGTTTTGGTGTTTCTCTCTTTCTTACTCTCTTTCTCCCACTTTCTCACTCGCCACTCACTCACTCTCACTCTCACTTTCACTCTTACGCTCACTCTCTCTCTCTCTCACTCTCACTCACTCTCTCACACTCACTCACTCTCACTCTCTCACTCTCTCTCACTCTCACTCTCACTCACTCTCTCTCACTCTCACTCTCTCTCGCTCACTCTCTCTCGCTCACTCTCTCTCGCTCACTCTCTCTCTCTCTCACTCTCACTCTCTCTCTCGCTCTCACTCTCGCTCTCTCTCGCTCTCTCTCTCATTCTCGCTCTCACTCTCTCTCACTCTCGCTCTCACTCTCACTCTCTCTCTCACTCTCTCACTCACTCTCACTCTCTCACTCACTCACTCTCTCACTCACTCACTCTCTCACTCACTCTCTCACTCTCTCTCTCTCACACTCACTCTCTCTCTCTCACACTCACTCTCGCTCTCTCTTTCTCACTCTCACTCTCTCACTCTCTCTCTCTCACTCACTCTCGCTCACTCTCTCTCTCACTCACTCTCACTCACTCTCGCTCACTCTCTCTCTCACTCACTCTCACTCTCTCACTCTCTCACTCTCTCTCACTCTCTCACTCACTCTCTCACTCTCTCACTCTCTCACTCACTCTCTCACTCACACTCTCACTCACACTCTCACTCACTCTCACTCTCACTCACTCTCTCTCACTCTCTCTCACTCTCTCTCACTCTCACTCTCGCTCACTCTCTCTCTCACTCTCTCTCGCTCACTCGCTCACTCTCTCTCTCTCTCTCTCTCA